TTGAATAGTCAATGGCATTACAAACATGCTTCCTTTGATACACAAAAACCTCCACACACCAATTGTGCATCTCATGCTCCATTCACCATCATGCATTATCCAGCAATGTGCCGAGTGGCCCAATGTTGCGGGTTTGCCACTCCCTAAGGAGTAACTTTGCTTGGGCCTCTTTCAATCCTCCTTTACCATGGGTAGTGATGGGATACTTATCATTGTACCACTCGTTTAGGGATATGTACACATCCTTAACCTGCTCCATGTCCCTGTTGAGCTTGATTGGTCTTCCGTGTAGTTCATCGTTGGGGCCATCTCTTGGATAGTTCGGCATATCAACACACGTGTCGATATCAGCACCATGTAGATAAGAAAACATGTATACCACAATGGTATTCATGTGATAATATTGAAAACAGCCTCTTACCAGGCGCCCCACGGTAGCCAAGTAGTCCTTGACTTTAGTTCCAAATGGGGTGACACCCCTCTTGGTTGGATCATGCTTTGTCATGATCTCCACCCCCTGCAGAATAGTGTTGCAATAGATGGCAATTTTGTGCATAGCCGTGAGGTACTTCAGTGGTCTGTTGGCTGCAATATTGCCAATATAGCCAATCATTATAATGATTACCACATGCAGCAAGTACGGCAGATTCTGCATATACAAACACAAGATGTAAGAGGTAGTCTATGAATATGTGTGTAACATGAGCATATGACATATCCAAATATAATGCAACAAAGATAAGGGGTAATTAAAAAGTGCAGTTTTGCATGTTACTGCCAATCCTCACTTGTGTGACATGTGAGTGTTGTACCTGAAAAGCATGTGACCCCTATTGTGGTTGTTGCACCTGTTCTGTCTGATGCACCAGTTCTGCCTGTTGCACCTGTTTTGCCTGCTGCACCTGCTGTATCTATTGTGCCCGTTGCACCAGGTGCACCTGCTACCTTGGTTGCGCCTGTTGCCCTGGCTACGCCTGCTGCCCTAGCTGCACCTGCTGCACCATTTGTACTGGCTGTACTGGCTGCATCTGATAGGATTGTGGTGGCAACTTTGAGTGTCGTAGTTGTGTGGCCTGATGCAATTGTTGTGGTTGCAGGTGCTGTACAAGATTGACAACCTCAGGTTGTGGAAGTTTGACATCCTTGTGCACGTCCCCTGCACCTTTAATTTGGATAGCCTCAATGGAACCCTCTTTATGGAGCTCCGCAATCTGCGGTAGATAGGATTCTTCAACTTCGGGTGATGAAGAATTGAACCAAGGACTATCATCCGCTGCCGAGGATGAGCCAGCCCCAAAGAAAGAACTCGTGCCATGAAAAGTTGCTTCCTGCATCGTCATATCATCATATCTCCATGTCATCACAATGAAGTGATACTAACACACCAAGCTGAGAAATGCCACGAGGTTCCCAGATTGGCTACACAGAAATGCGAAGCACTTCATGGTTGTTGTACTTTTCTTGGGATGTCAAAAAGGGTGTTCCACCCAATAGTGCTTTGATGGCAGATGGTAGGGTATAGTTTCGATCAGAAGTGATGGGAGTGATGTCTAGATCAATGCAAGTTAAAGGTGCAATGATTGCTTGAGGTCATATCGATATACATGGTTGGGTATGAGTGGGTGGAGGGAGTATACATTGGATTCACATTTAGGTTCGGTTCTGGTGCTATCCCTCAGGCTGACCAGTTAACTGGCTGTGATCATGAACAAAATTGTGGGTTTGACATAAGCATGTGCTTGGGACCATTGGCGGTCATCAACAGTTTGATGCAAGAGCTTTTGCTATGTTTTAGTGTTGTTCCCAAATATGCGACCAAGGTGCTCTGTTCGGTGGTCAAAGGTTTTCAAGCGATCCCAACATTGATTCTGTTCATATTGACATTTGCTATGACTCTGGCTTTTGGCTGCAGAAATACGAGTATTGGCAGCAAGGTACCTCCTATTTGGTGCTAAAATTCACCGCTTCTGACACCACCTTCTCAGATTGCTGCCAACAGATTCACTGGCTGCAATGCGCCACATTGCGAATGAACAACGTGGCAAAGAGAAAACGAATTCCATTACCAAATTACATCCAACTGCTTTAAGGTGCCAGAAGCGTTGCTTACTATCTATATCGGGAACAATGTGGCTGCACTACCGCCCTCTCCCCATCTCCGCTTTTCTCGCGGCCATCCGCCGCCGCGCTCCGCCCGTCTCCGCCCGTCTCCGCAGATCTGCCTAAAAATTTTATTTCTTTGCGGCGTCACCGTCTCGGTCACCGTCTCCGTCACCGTCACCGTCACCGTCACCGTCACAATGGTCTGTATCGGGAACACCCTCCTGGAAATTGGCACTATGCGTGAAGTCTCACCCTTCGCCCTCTTCCCCCGCGGCGGAAAAAAAGCAAAAAACGCCAAGGACCCAAAGTCGTCCATGCCCTGATTTCAGGCCAGCAGCCCCGCGCCAAAGGACAACGCCCCGCCGCGCGGACCGGAGGCAGTCCTCGCCCAAGCAGGTGAGGCACACCAGCCCCCGCCCCGCCTCAGCATCAACACCTCTTCTCGGCTCACCTCGCGCGCTTGATCGCCGCAACGTCCAATCGCCCTCGGGGCCGATCAGACCTTTGGTGCCATCCCCGGGGAATCGACTCGATCGGCCGTGGGGCACGGGACGTGGGCGGCACGGGGCGATTGGGTCCGATCCGCGGCGGAGCCGCCGGCGGGCATGAGCGCCGGGTGGGGCGCGGAGGGCCGTGCGATGAGGACGGGGAGGTGGGAAGGCGGGGGGGATGGCGAGGCCTGCGGCAGGGAGGCCGATTGCGTTTTGGCGCCGATCGGGCGCCGGCTGACTCGGCCGATTCGAAATCTGGCGGGAAAGGCCGTCCGATTTCGGAATTGGATCGGGCCTGCGCGCCTCGGCCGGGGCTTGGGGCGCCGATGGTTGGACGATGTCGCGAAGGTCGGACGGGCTCTCGGTTGTCCCTCCGCATGCCGCGCGGGCCGAAATGCGAACTGAGATCGTCGCATCGCCTCCGGCGGTGGCGAAAGGGGCGCTGGAAAGTGATGGCCCGGGGGGTCGGGGCCCGTCGAGTGACGCGCGTGATTTGGTTCGGCATTGCGATTTTTGCGCCTTCGTGGCCGTCGCTGGTCGCAGCGGGACGGGGGCCCACGGCGGCGATTGGATGGCGCGTCACGTAGAGGTGCCTCGAACGATGCCCGGGGGGCTGGCGGAATCGGCGGGCGCGATCCTGCGCGCGGCGATCGCGATGGTGTGACTGGGAGATGGCGCGCAGCAGCCGGCTTCTTGGGGCTGGCAATCGCGGGTAGGGGGTTGCGCGCGCTTGGCGGGGGATCAATGGGGCGGCCAGGGCAAAAGCAAACGCCGAAGGATGGGTTTTACGCCGCGGCGCGGGACGGGAGATTCGTGCAGGGCTCGAGGGTCGATTGACAGCCGTGGAAGCTGTTCTGATTGCGGGAGCCCGGGGATGATTAGCATCGCCCCGTCCGTCTCTTTCGCGCGGAAGTCGTTGTATTCGCGCGGAGGTCGCCGCCGCGGGGCCGAAACGCGAAGATTGGGCAGCCAGTGGGCTTGTGTTGAGAGCCGGGAAGAATTCTGCCTCGTCGGGAGGGGTGCTCGGTGGGTACCCTGTGGCCTGCCCGTTCGCGAGCTTTCCCTCGCACGATCGATCGCCCCGGACGCGAGATCACCACTGGCTTCCTGGCCATCCCCTGGTGCGTGCTTCTTTGTGCCTGCTTTCCAGTGCGCGCTGTTTTGCCGCCTGTTTTTGGTGTTTGTTTTTTGTGCCTGTTTCTTGGTGCCCATTTTGCGGTGCTCGGCTCTTGGTGTCCGTTTCTTTTTTCTTTTTTAATTCTTTTTCTTCTTTTCTTCGGCTCCCGGCGCTTTGCCTCGAGATCCCACGGACGGGCGGCGCATGCCGCTTGCTGCCGCATGGGCAGCGGTCGGGAGTCACATTCTGGGAGGCGGTACGAAGGGGACAGAACGCGCAGCACCGGGGGGATCAAATCCACCCCCAAAGCTGGCTGTATGCAGGCCAGCGATGCTGCACGAGTGCCACGATGATTTTTTGCAGTGGGCCACCACACTGCGACAGCATGGACCTGTTCTCTGCAAAGTTTTGACAGCTCCAGAGGAGCCAACTGTTCCACAATTGTGTGCCTCTGCTTGTCACAGCACGACAAGGCAAGCTTTCAACAAGTTGGTGACTTCAAGCGTGTTGGGATGACTGTGTGTGGTGGTGCCCATCAACGTCCAACAATGGAATGGCTGCAGTAAACAGACAGGAAACATGAAATGGATCTACTTTGTAATTGAGCAAAACCACATGAACATGAAGTTGACAATCCCCACTGCTGCATCTTGAGCAGGACCCCCCCACCCACACATCCACCACCACCATCCCCAGTCACCCACCCACCATCGCCTCATTTTTGATATCTCAAGGGAGGCAGCTTGGCCATTGGCAAGTCACAACCTTTTGAGGCACCTCTTTAGGGAATGCAAGCCTCCAGTTTTTCTTTGGATTCTTAGCCTCAAGTACTTGGGTCTCAACGCAAGGAATTCGAAATGGATAGCCTCTGGGATCGCCAAGGCCTTGCAAAGTACACAGCGAGTTTTGCTGATTCTACAAACAACCAAATGCACCCCTGTTGCCCTGCAGGCTATGGCAAGCACAAGGGTGGCCAACACCAGAACTTTTGTTAGATGTCTTTTTGATCACCTGCTCTGCACATTCTTATCCTTAGTCACTATGGATTGTTGATTTAGTTTAACAGCTCCTTACTTGTTGTTCATTGTGTGGCCGTGCAGCTAAATTGATGCAGCATTACTGTGGCATACCACTGGCATCTGATCCACTGGGGCTGCCACAGCAGGGACTGCACATGCGCAGACCCATTTGAAGTCTCCAAAACTGACGCACAAAGGCAAACTGGGTTCTGTGGCCTGTATCTAACTCTCAGCAAACTGCACAGTGGTAGCAGAGTCTATAGCGATCCCATGCAACAGGTGCGTGGCATGTGCATTACTGCATGGCATCATTTCCCAATGCTATCGCGTTGGTGTTGACGATCCTTGCATTCCATAAAGAGAAGCCCAAAATCAGCTTACGATCTGTGACTGCCCCTGAGAATGCAGTACCTTTGACCTGGTCAGGCCAGATTAGGCGATGGCCAACACAAATCCTGTCACCCAGAATTCGGTTGCTAGCCGAGCACCTCACAGAGATTTTGAACAGCATTTCAGGCAACAGTTTTGCTAATGCACAGTGTATTGCACTATACCTCGTTGTGAATTTGAGTATTGCATTCTTCTGTCGATGGATTCAAGTGTACACGTGGTGCGCCACCCAGGACTTCAGCTTAATGACGAATTTCATGCATTCATTTGCACAACGGCCAATGCAGTCTTTGATTGTATACACTGTATTGCATGTCGAAACTCTTGGCAAATTCGTGTTTCTTGTTCAATAGTGCTTGCCACAATGCTTAGCACCATACCCGGTACTGAACCAAATGGGCTAAGGTCACATGGGCCTTTCGTTCTCGTTTTTCCTTGGTCATTGCCAGGCTGGTCACATACCTTTGTACATATGATGTGTTCCGCCCTTTGCAGGGTGTATACATGTGAATACATACATGCACCCATATGCACCAATATGTGCACGATACAATACTCGGCAGGTATGAGCTTCAGTGCTATGTATATGCGGGGCATATGCACATGTGTGGATGTAAATGCAGTTGCATGCACATCTATGGAAGCGCCACACTTGTGTGTGCGTGGTGCTTCCATAATAGAAATGCATACACACACCAAGCTTGCTCCACTCGATATCATGCTTCACACCAACATGGAATTCGCCATCTTTCGTCGCTCAGCACTTGATGCACGGCTTGCACAGACTTCGTTCCAATGGAGCATTTCGCACTTTTTGGTTGGCACACAGTACTGAACACTGTACGTGATTGGATACCCAGTATTCGGTGCAGTACTTCATTGGTTGCCCAGTGTCTCAACCCTATGGTGGCCGCCTGCTCCACAGGCCGACGTGCTGTGCCAGGGCTGGTGCGACCTGCCCTTTCACCTGCTGGACGGCGTGCGCGATGCACTGCGGTTCTGTGGCGAGTTGACGCGGTTCCTTAAGGCCTCCCGCCTGGTGAACCGCCACTGGAGCGCCTGGGGCACCGAGTCGGTGCCCTTCCTCAACCTCTCGGGCGACGTCCCGCTCGGCACCTTGGCGGGAGTCGTCGCTACCAAGTTCAAGCGCGTGCGTGGCCTGGGCTTCCGGAAGCACCGTGGCTTCGCGGAGGCGGACCTGTGCCAGCTGACCCAGCTGCGGGGACTGACCCACGTCGATCTCGGATTCTGCCGGATTACTAATGAGGGCCTGGCGCATGTGGGTCTGCTGAGCTCGCTCACCAGCCTGAACCTGAGGTGGAACAAGCGGTTCACGGGGGAGGGGCTGGCGCACGTGGCCCGGCTCACGGGCCTAAGGAACCTTGACTTGGACTCCTGCCAGCAGATCACGGACAGCGCCCTGGAGCACGTGGCCTCCCTCACCGCTTTGACGTGTTTGAATCTGTCCGGTTACTCGATCACCGCGGCGGGGTTCGCCCACGTGGGGAAGCTGACGTCACTGATCCGCCTGGACCTGTCCAAGTGCGGCGTGCTCACTGACGAGGGCATCGCCCACGTGGGGAAGCTGACGTCACTGCGCCACCTGAACTGCTGCTGCGGGGAGGTGACCGGCGCCGGCTTCGCGGCGGCTTCCGCGGGGCTGGCCGGCATCGCGAGTCTCCGCCTCTCCGACTGCTCGGACGAGAATCTGTACCACGTGGGGCGGCTGACTAATCTGGTGGACCTGTGCGCGTGCGGCTGGGGCATAACGGACGAAGGACTGACCCACGTGGGCAGATTAGTCAACCTGACCCAGCTAGAGCTCTCCGACATCGATTTTGTTACAGACGAGGGGCTGGTGCACCTCACGGGATTAACTGCCCTGCGGCGGCTGGACCTGTCCGGATGCTGGGGGACCGCCGACGCATGGCGGCCGCTGAAGAGGCTGCCGTCCAGGGTACGGCTGCGGCTGCCGCTGTGCGACTCATGCAGCTGGGAGGCGGACCTGGAGGGGGAAGGGGAGGAGGGATGGGACTGGGGCCTGAGGGAGATGTTCGGAGATGGGGATTGCTGAGGGAAGCGCCGCGACTGATTCCCAACGTTCGTCGCCGGTATTGGCGATTGGGCTGGGGAAAGTTGAGCATCATGCTCACCATGATGGTGATTGATGGAAAGACGGCGACTTCGCGGTGGAGAGATGTGCGTGATCCTTGCCATTGGCAGTCGTGGGAAGTGGGGCGGTTGAGGTTGTGGGTGCTCCATCCCACCACCCACCCCGTGGGGATGAGCTTGGCTGTGGGATCCTTTATTTGGGTTGGGATTAGGATTAGGAAAGGTTTGGATCGGCGTGGTGGCTGCCGAAGCTGGGCGCCTTGCACGCCACGCGACATTCTCTTTTAGGCTTGTAATTCTGCTATCTCTTTATCCTCCTCCTTTTGTCCTGTCCTTGTCGTTTCACTTCTTCCTGGAACGAGCGTGGTCGTGCGGGGATCCGTTCGGGCGACAGGCGAGGCGATGAGTGGGAATTACCGATGCCGACCTCGTTTTGGCTGAGGCTTGCGCGTTTTCTGGCAGAGTTTGCTAGTGATGTGCATAAGAATGGACCACGAGTATTAGTACTAGCTGTCGGTCACATTGACGAAATTGTGACGGTAGCCCGCAGTGATTATCTGCATGGACACAGTTACTTTATCACTACGGATCAATTTGGACAAGGCTGAGCCCAATAGCGGCTCAAATTGGACCCAACTTTGGATCCAAATATTGACCCAAACATGAATGAGGCACAGATAAACGGCTTGGGATGTATACACACCGCGTGCAAGGGGCAGTGGCCGCCGTTGCCTTTCGAAGGCAAACTTAGTCAGAGAGATTTAGCTGATCTAAACGCTACAGATCGCTGCCGTTGATACTATTAGGCCATGCCGGATCAGGTGGTTCTAGGAGCGTTTGTCCAGGTGAGCACCAGATTACACGTTTGCGCCTGTGCTTCACCTCGCCTGCTTCACATATTGTATGCACGCATGCCAAGGCAAAGAATGGGCGCAAGAGCAGGTATTGGCGGCAAGCTCAGCCTTGCAGTGCGCGGGCCTGGAGCAGTGGGCATGCCTTCGGACTAAAGAAATCCCTTCGTGATGGGCATGGACAAACCTTGTAGAAAAAAGAGGCACAATCAAGCATAGCAAAAACTGAACCTTCCTCCACTTTCTTATTGCACACGGCTTGTAGATCAAAGAGGGCCATGATCAGTCACGACCCCACAACCGCATCACCTGCTTGACGGAAAACCACTTTCTGGCAACATGCTGAGGGTTACCGGCTGACTGGTACCTCAACTGGGTCACCAGAGCCCCTACGGGAAGCGCAGTAAGCACACTCCGTCTCTGGGTCCGACAGTGCCAACGAGTGACCTCATAATGTAGCCCCCCCAACACACACAAACTCGTGCTCAAACGCTGGTGGTGCTGATAGGTCCCTAGCTGGTTCGCCACTGGAGAAACGGTTCCGGTGGAGGCTTCCTGGGAACGACTTGGAGGCAGCGGAGTTACAGACAGATCGCAAACAGCGATGACCTTTTACGGCGAGGCCATTCATTTCGTCCACGTGTCATGACTGTGTCACATTAGTGCATTGTCTATGGTGCAAATCATGGTAGCGGATGGTTTGGGGCAGCGACAGGCCAATTTGCGCGAATATCTAATATCTGACTCACCTCAACTCAGGGGTCTTACCCTTTGTAAAGCCAGGAGAGTGAAGGGAACAGCAGTGCCTAAGCCGCAGCCAACCCCAAGGGACTGTGGGGCTCGTAAGTATTAGGATTGCATAAAAGAAAACACTACTTCAAACGTGGTACGTTAGGCTCTCAGCAAAATCTAAGCTCTTGCATCCCCCTATGTTAATGCCTCTCTTCATTATCCTACATGTCATCCACTCTTCCAGCTTTCCTCTTATCCAATAGTCACAGGAGAAGCAAGACTGCTGGAAAGTCAGCAGTTGAATGAGAAATTGCTTTGGCATGCTCACGCTGTCACACCAAGCGCTCCAAGTGTGCCCTCGGCAGTAAAGCCTGCTGTTCAATGATCGCACATTTCTCACAAGAAGCACCAATTGTAGGAAATATTCTTCTTCAGGAAAAGCGCCATCGGCTATGATCACAGCTGTGCCGTGTGTCAAATGTTCCCATCCACCCTATTGAATCTGCATTGCCAGGAAGTAACGGTTAGCTTGAAAACCTTCACTACTACAAGAACAAAACGTTGACATAAATTTTCAGTGGTGGTCACTATGTTTTCCCGCTGGTGTGAATGAAAGCTTACTGAAGCCCTATTCCCTATCCTAATTGACACGTTGCTCGTGTTTCTGCTTGCGCTCACACACAGTCGCTCCCATGCATGGGAAGCAAGCCGCAACCAGATGATGTTACAGAATGTTTGTTCCATTCATGTAGCGCTCACTAACACACAACGAGTTCCAATATTAATACATGTTTAAACAACGCATGTCTACCTATTTGCAGTCCATGCCGTCATAAATACATATGCATGAATAAATAAATATACATAAATGCTGTCTTGGCCGGTACTCCTTGCCAGACAGGGGACACAACCCACTGTTCTTTCCCGGCCATCCCTTGCAAACGCTAGACTACATATATTAACACACACCATGGGCCCAACAACAATCCCTAGCTACTTTTTCCCGGCCAACCCACGGCCGGTACTCCTTGCTAGACTAGAGGCGCAACCCGTCAAATGCTAGAGCACACATGAACACTTGCCAACACCCATAGTCCTAAGATGATCGCCCACTATGGTAATCAATGGCTAGTAATCCTTTGCCAAATGCATACATTCACTCGCAGCAACTATAACAAAATTTCCATGGTTCGTCATGTGATGCCTTGGACTTTGATGTGGTCTTCGATGACGCTAGCTTCCTGCACCCAGTTGGACGCCTCGATATCATGGTGTGTGCTCGCATGCAGCGCCAAGGGTGGGAAGACCGCCGCGCAAGGAAAAAGAAGCATAGAGGGAGCATGGGCCATGCTCCCTCTATGATTCTTTTTCCTTGCGCGGCGGTCTTCCCACCCTTGGCATTGCATGTACCATCCTACTAACGACCCCCTGCACACAAAAAACACATACCTGGAAGGCCGCCTACACCAGCAAAGGCAATTATTGGACATATAGTAGCGCAGCTTTTCCCGGCTAATGGGCGGCCGGTACTCTGCCCTTCCCGGCCAAAAGATGGCCAGTACTAAGGCCATATAGACCAACAAATTGCCAGTAGT